ACCTCCTCCAGGGCCGACTCATAAGACCCCTCGCTGTCGGAGTCTGGCGGCAGTTCCGGGCCACAACAACTTACTAAAGAGGTGTTGGGAAAAGCCATGTCCCAGCCAAATAGGGAGAATAGCTCAAATGGGGAAATAGCCTTGATCTCATTGCATAGCCACAATAAATTGAGGACTTCCATCTCCATGGGACCTTATCTACTTGTTTCCAAAAGAAGGCATGGAATTTTGGGACATTCCATGCATAAACCCACCAGTGTGACTACCGTCCCTGTCCTACTGTCCCCATTTATTTGTAATCATTTCTTTCATTCATGTCCAAATGCAAATAAATACAAATATAAATTCTGGTATTGTAGGAAGAGTACAAATAAGTAGTTAGCTCAAATGCTATAACATGTAGTTCTAGTTGCTTCCACCTCCAAACATTTTGCAATCTCAAAAAGAATCAGATATTCTCAAAGACTATGCTTCGTTCTACTACCTTGACTATCATGCCAAAACAGCAAAACTCTGTTTAGCATGCTCTTGATTAATTTGACTTCCTAAGATTGATTTACGCACGTTGAAATAGAGATGCTTATGGAGGAAATGAGCACATCCCTTAAAAGGTTTAATGGCTACTTTCTCAATGCCTAAGATGTTACAAAATGAACATTAGGAGAAAAATGTGAGAAAAAACATGTAGTCAGTCTTGTCTCTTATTTCACCTATTTCAATTGTAGTCATGCTTTGACCAAATTTTCCACCTGGGAACATCCTTTAAGCTTTGCTAATGGATGTAATGAACCTTGCTAATATGACTTACAATTAATGAAATGGCAAGGAGAACACAATTAACCATGGCAGTTCCAGATGGAATGATAGAAAACCGCTTTTTTGGAATTGACCTTGCTACTTTGGCAAAATGTCAATCAGTACTACACTATAGTCTGATGTGTGATGCTTCTGGTCACAAGAGACATTTTGGGATAATCTATATTACTCAGACAACATGTAATTTAATGTATTCTAGTTTTGACTTAAGAGTTCTATTTCCCCTTTCTGCTTCAATATATTTTCAGGTATCACAACAACAAAATCAACCCCACTAATTTATCACATGTTTTCTTTCTGGATTCACGCAGATATCCATGTTTTGTTTTAACTCTTGATTAATATACTATGTTCTGACCCCCCCCTTCTCCATCCAGGAACGAAAGCCGAAACCAACGTAAATGAGAATGTTTTTTAATCAGTCCAGACTCTCGTTGGCTGCAAGCCACATCAACACTCTGGCAGCAAGTCCTACAAACCTTGGCAGCAATGCCACCAATCTCTGGCAGCAATCCAGCCTGCCAAGTTTGTTTTTNATATACGAACCAGAGTCCTGGCAGGAGCTTTATTGAGCTCCCGACGGCGGCAGCTCCTCCCCTCGAAGCCCATTCTAAGACTTTTCTAGAGGTTGTACATTGAGAAATGTGATTCTTCCCTTCCCCCATGCTTATGAACTGATTTACTGCAATCCCGCACATGACAAATCATAGTGAGAATTTGTCCAGACAGGAGGTAAAAAAAGTTTTATTTCAGGTCACCTTCATGCAAGGTTTTTGCATCACTCCCAAATGGTTGCCACATCTCTTTGACTCTACTCTATTGCTTCTGTCAACTGGGTCAACTGCATTAATCTCCAATAGCAACTGAAGTCACTATATTGCTCTTGTACAACGTTGACATTCTGTAGAGCTAAGTGGTCAAGATTTCAAACAACTTTGTGGAAATTGAATAAAAATAGTTGTTTTGTCATTTTAGATGATTTTAAAAAATCAATTCTTGTTCGTGTTATAATTGTGAGCGCCTCAGTCATGTATATAAGATAGGCTGCCTGTAAATTTACTAAATAAAGTATCCTTATCTGTTCAGTACCAAAGCTTATGAAATCTTATGAGCATAAAGGAGAAAGGTCTGCTAGGGCAGTTTCCATTATATATTACAACTCTAGACATTTAGGTAAGACCCAATATGTGGGGGTGTGATATGCTACTTTAAGTGGTAGAACAAGGCATACCCAAAATATTCTTAATTTGGTGCATTTAGTTTGGCAAGGCATTGTTTTATCTTAGTTTTGCACCATTCTTGCAATCAAATTTTGAAAACATCATTTGTTTCTACGATAATGCTAACATTTGCATTATGGTGGCAGCATGCAAGCACCTCTCTTCTATATTCGTGTTGCAAAGCACATTTCATCAGTTGCCCCCTTGCACACCGGATATCTATATCTAAAAATGAGTTTGGATCAATAGTTATAAAGCACCAATATGCTCTTGTTAAAAATAAATAAATGACTTACATTTATGTAAGTTGTGTTTTTTGAGCTGCTGCATTGAATCTTATACTTCAAGGCTCAAGAGCTGCTTGTGGGCATGGCTGTAATTCAATGGTAGAGAACATACGGAGGATACAAATCATTCCAGCAGCTACACGCAGAGGGAAGCTACAAGCAGAGTCTGAAGAAAATCTCTGAATCTAATTCATCCTCTGGTTACAGCTTGGCATGATTACAGGTCCTGAGGGTATATTGCACAAATCCACAGCACAATGGCAATGCTTGTGTGGGGGAGGAAAGCGTGTGTTTCAGAAACCTAGCACAGATACAGACCTGATTCTTTGATGTAATCAGGGCAGCTCATGTGTTATCTAGTCAGCTTAGAATTTAGGCTACAGGTACATTTACATATCTAACTTTGATTCAAGGAAGCCGCCTTGAAGAATACTACACCACCTGATATCATCTTCCATTCCTCCCCAATCCAAAGCACAAAACCCGAACCAAAATTGATGTGGCGCACCGTATTTTCTCCCAACTAACTCTTTGCTAGTTGCACAACTTGTGGTACTTCGGCACTAAATGAGCTGATCAGGCAGTAGAGGGTGGAATCTTCTCAGCTTCTGTTGGCTGCTTTCTGTCTGTACTGCCCAGAGTGGCATAAACTATCACTAGCACAGATGCCTGGTCCTGCTGATCAGCCCCTACCTACTTTCTGTGTCCTAGGTGTGTAGGGCTGACTTGATAGGTTGTGTTCTTTTGCTGTCCATCAATGCCATGCCTGTCAACTTTTATCCACTTGTATATGTAGCGATGAACAGGGAGGGTGCTCAGGAGGAAAGCTTGTCAAAAGCTCCTGAGGGTGCATGCAATCAGCAGCTAAAAACTTGTTATCAAATAACTAATAGAGTCAATGCATTAATGAGATGGGTGGCATAGAAATTCAATAAATAAACAACTATACAAATTGATACTTATCAGGGATATTACTTAGCTATGCTATGTAATACTTCTGACTGGATCCCCCAGAGATACTTTTGGAACATGAATTGTTTCTTTCTACATAGATGTCAGTAGAAACCCCTGACTACTATCTTTTTTTTCCCATTTTCTAAAATTACAATAGCAAGAACTTTGGAACAATACATCAACTTTTCCGAGAACCGTGTATATGGATGATGGTGCATTTATTCTTTAATTCATTTCAATTGAATTCTCATGGAAAGAAAAATACATTTCTTGGTTCAAGTTTTTTTTCCAGGTAAGGTGGAAAAAGCCATGCTTCTTCTCACAGGTTCCCAGAGTTAGAGGACGAGGAAGAAAAAGCTTCTCTATAAAATTGTTAATGTATCATCTAAGTAAGGCACTTGTATTTTTTTTAAATAAAGAACAATATGTGTTATATGTGAGGTAGCAAATGCAGAGGAAATGAAGAAAAATGAGAACGTTACATTTCCTTTAGGATGGTTTTGAATGGTGCGCATTAGATTTTTAAACAGTACCATCATTACATTTCAAAAGAAAACAAGAGATTGGATTGGCAGTTGTAGAAAATATTTCCAGGGTTTCCTGTCTTGGGGGAACAAAATGGAAAAGAAATGGTAAGAAACTAGTAAGAGAAAAATTAGTTGGTGATTGGCAGTCCAGTTCTAAATCGTAGATGGAGGGTTTGAGTATGAGATTTTTCTGGTGATCAGCGGATTCCAAAAATTTGTTAATGGAGTGATTTGGTATAAGATACACCAGCCAGGTAATTAATATAGGGACAAGAATAGATAGGGCAAAGGAAGAGCCACACTTTAGCACAATCAAACCTTCTGCAGATATGGCTATGTCCATAATATTAGCATCATTAGATTTTTCATTGAGGAGAGTTTGCCATTTGCAAGGGCTCTTGAAGATATATTCAGGAAGTATGCACAAAAGCATACTTAAAAGTGATAGAAATGAAAGATTCGAAACAAGAAAGAAGTAAACATTAAGACAGTCCTAACACTTCACTGAATATGATCATTTGTTTTTGAATGTAGACCAGTCTTTCCCAAGTTGGCATGTTTTTGATTTTTTAGGACTTGAGCCTCCAGAAGACCGAGGGGTAGTGTTGGTAATTTTGCAGCCAACATATCTCAAATGCATCAGCTCAGGAAAAATAGACTAAAGCAATTAAAAAATAGTTTCTCTTTTCAGTGAATGCTTCATGATTATGGAAAAGAACTATTTAAAATTATTTATATGCTGATGCAGAAGAGTTAAAGCACCATCTCTGGTATTTCTACCAAACTGAAGAACTCTTGTTCATTATCTGTAAGCTATAAATCAGAGCTAGCTTTCACAACCTAGAATTCATAAGCCAAAACTACTACCAGTCACATTGGCTGGAATTTTTGGAATTGCTACTTCACATTGGAAGGGCATTGTGTGGAAGGCTGATTTAGAGCTATTACATACTTTTTTTTTTTTAACATAGAATGCTAAACTGAATTCCAAGCTTACTTCTAGAGAACATCAGTGACTGTAATCAATTGATTTGATTCAATCCCCGGCTTGCAACTGGAGATGATTTAGCTCAGCAAAGCTCGGTAAATATCTTGGGTTGAGCTTTTGCTCATCTGTTTCAGTCCTTAGGAAATATGGAAAAGTCAAAGCAGTTCTGGCTTTTCATTGATCCTGACAGAGGAAAACAACCCCACATGTCTCACCAGATTGGGCTCAACCACAAATGCATGCTCGCCCTTGATACGAAGCATTGAATAAAGAGCAATATCTTTGGCAAAACCTAGGTGACATTGAACATCTTTCATGTAACCCAATGCACGGTGTGCTGAAGAAGCAGAGAACACCATGGCCGGAGTGCAGCATTCAGTCACAGGCATAATGTTGTAGAAGGATGGCGCTATGCGTCGAAGCTCCAAGAGATAGTGGCGCCCAACCAGCTCTACTAGCAGCATGCTGTACAGGGCGAAAAACAACACAATGGACCAACTAAGGCTGGAGCGGCTGGATGCCCAGGAGTAGACAAAGCCCAAGAAGGATCCTGAAAACATGCCTAATCCGAGCCATTCCAGGATCCTCATGGGTTCTGGATTGATGTAATGTTGAAGTCTCTCTGGATGGTACAGTTTGATATAGAGAGCATCTCGGAGGTGGGGCTTTGAGAATCGTGTCTGTAACAAGTGATGGAGGACTGGAAAGAACTCCTCTTCTGGGAGGGTATCATCTTCCACCAACAGGACGTATTCTGGTCTATACAGCTGAAGAGATTTCTCAAGGCAATAGGTGTAATCTTGCTTCTCCTTCTCAAATTGGTTTGGAAAGAGATCCAAATTTTCCTGACCACTGAAGCGGTTCACCACAGGAAAGAAAGTGGCAAGCAGCTTAGCATCCTGGTGGTCGCTGGGATCTGTTTCCACATTGCAGAGTAAGAGCTGATGGTGCTGGCAAGAAGGGCCACATTCGTGGAGCAGACGGTGGAAGTGAGCTGCTACTTGAAGGACATAGTGGAGTTCCGGGCTCCTTTGAACAGTAATGATGGTAATCAGCAACCATGGCTGCAAGGCCTCTTTGGTCATCTTCTCTGATGTATTCTGCAGTCGCTCAAAGTAACGGAGAGCACTCAAACCCTCCTCTTGGTTCTGCTTTAAAAAACGTTGGGTCATTGAGTTCAGGTACCAACCACGCAAGTAGAAATAAGAATGCAGGAGGTCTTGGCAAGTGAAGGGAGCGATCACACCAAATGTCACGACACTCAAGACAAGGAGTTGCAGGAATGGGCTGGACCAACGGCATAGCCAGCGCCAAGACAGTAATCTGTGCGAGAACATGGCTGCCACATCTGCAGTTCGAGAGTCCTTTGGTTTTTTCCTGTGTGCCATTTGGTCAGCCTCTTGCTTCATGCAGAGGCAGACTGTGCAGAGGGCCTTCTAGCAAAATCATGATTAGATCCAATTCTGTAAAAAGTAAAGAAAAAAATATTATGGAGATTTCATGCCTGATGAAGAAGTAGTTGTACTGAAAGCTTTTATCTATTCCAAACAATATTTTGCATGATTACTACTCCTTCTTAAAAGTTCATTTTAAACAATGATGACCGGTTCATATCCAGTTGATCTTTTGCCAATTTAATAGGTGCATTCACATGCCATTAATTTGAAATCAAGGTCCATACTATTCCTCCTCCTCCTTTTAATTTGGCTTTAGAACCTCTTGCATTAAGTAGAAATACTAAAATACTTGATGGAATTGCACTAAGAGACCGCTGCGCACAAGGACCTGCTACAAGCAGACAATGTATTTCACTTATTGAGCATTTCTATTCCTAAACTCACTTCATGAGTTTTATTTTCCTATCTGATTACTCTGTTAATTGGATAAATTATATTAGATGCCACTGGGGCACAACAGTAATTTTGTCACATACATGGAATTTTTACATTGTATTTGACTCTTTTATGTAAGTATTTTCAAGACGTTTTCTCAACAAGCAAGTGTAAAATAAAATCATTGTTTTCATCCAAAGAAATTCCAGATATTTGTTCTAGAATTCTTTTTTTATTAATTTTTTTATTTTGTTACTTAAACAACACATGCCCACACCAGTGGGAAAAGAAAAAATCAAAAAGTCAAAAACACAGAGAAGACAAAAAGAACAAAAAACAAGGCAGAATTCTAGAATGTTCTAGAATTCTTTTTTTATTAATTTTTTTATTTTGTTACTTAAACAACACATGCCCACACCAGTGGGAAAAGAAAAAATCAAAAAGTCAAAAACACAGAGAAGACAAAAAGAACAAAAAACAAGGCAGAATAAAAGAAAAAAGAAAAAGGAAAAACAAAAGAAGAAAAAAGAACAAAAAAAACACAGGTATATATTATAAAAAAGTATATCAGCTGGTTACAACATGTTTTGGTGCATCTCTTCCATTAATTC